CTTGGTGGGTGTGGATTCTCCCACGCCCACCAAGCCATACCCACAGAACTGGTAGTAAAAAAGTTTGAATCCCACCACTGCTCTGAAAGATTATGTTTATAATCCAGTAATACAGGTAGCCCTTGATTTACAGTTCATTTAATTACCATTCAAAGTTACAATGGCACTGAACAAAGTGACTTATGACCATTTTTCACACTTATAACCATTGAATCATCCTCATGGTCACTTGATTTATATTCAGATGCTTGACAACTGACTCATGATGGCTGCATTATCCTGGCGTCATGTGATCCCCTTTTGCAACCTTTTGACAAGCAAAGTCAATGGGGAAATCAGGTCCACTTAACAACTGTGTTACTAATTTAAGAACTGCAGGGATTCACTTAACGAATTTGGCAAGAATAGTCGTAAAATGGGGCAAATTTATCACTTAGTAACATAAATTTTGGGCTCAAAAGTCATGGATTACCTGTTATTCAGGCAATATTACAGTTGTTCTCTTTTTGTACGTGCACATGTGTAGGAAGAAGACAAAAGAAGTAATAGGAAGACTTGGGAGGCTACATCTGGAAAATATAAGGTTCCAGTATTGGACTAATGATGAAGTACACAAAACTCTACATTAAGTGTTCAACACTTTTATTTTTTCCTCTTCCTTTTTAAGGATTCTATTATGTACTCTTTGGGGATTCTCAGTCATCCAGGTTACAGTTGTCTTAAAGGTGCATTTGTTTTCCTTCAAAAGGCAACGGGACTGGTTTTTTCCTTGTGGAGGAAGAAGAAAATGTTTTGCTTCTCATCCAAGAATCTTCATCAGTTGTGATGGTGGTGAAATGGATGGATAGGTACTGACTGTTGAAGCTGGATGGTGGGGAGATGGAAGGATTGGTTCTGACAGGATGGTGTCAGAACCTATTCTCCCATCTCCCCACAGATTGATTGGGCAGATTGAAGGATTTGTTTTTATCAGAGTTTGTTGCAAAAATCAAATCCAGAAAGCACACACAGATAACTGATTCAGCAGGATCCATTAACTTCTTTATATATATAATAACACATGAATAAATGTACATTACCAAGAGTGGTTCAGTTTCAGATCAGAGCAGCAGGCCCAGATAGTTTCATTTTCCAGCTTTGCTTGTATTCAAAAGCTAGTTTCAGTGTCAATTCTCACCACAGACTCAGATCTGTTTAAGCTTCCATTGGCTGACTTAGTTGTTATGCCTATTCATTGGCTGACCTTGTTACGATGACTTTCCCAGTCATGAGTATTCTAAAAGTTTTTCTTTGCAGTCATCTGGTTGTTAGCACTCTCTCAGAGCTGTTGAGGCCACTTTGGGAGGGAGGGGTTCAGTTGCCTTTTGAAGAAAAAAGACAATCATGTGCTCTCTTTAGCTAACACTTTCCTCTGGACAAAAGCAGGAGAGGGGGGAAAACAAGGAGAAAGAGGGTGCTGGGAAAGTGTTGGGAAGGAGGACACTCAATTTTGGCACTGCCAATGTCAGTAGATAAGCCAGAGCAGCTGCATTGTAAAGAATTCAGCAGGATGCATCATGGGTAGAGATTTAAGGGCATTCTCATCTTGCCTCTAATCATTTGGGTGATCCATTTCCAGTTATCTCTCAAAAGACAGGAGCCAACCCTCAGCCATGATGATCAGACTGTAGATAGGGTTGGGAGATGGCTGGGTGCTTCTTTAAAAGTAATTTGGCTAACAGCTAACTGACAAGTTGGAGGGGCTACAGGGTGAAGCAGACAGAACTGGACTCTTATTATTCTGCTTCTTAGCCATGTTTTTTTAAAAGTACCTGCACAAAACATGCCAAGGCAGCAGTGAGTTTCAACAAAAGGTTAAACCTACTGGTCTAGACCTCTGACAAAACTCACTTCCTCCCTAAATCCCATTTCCATATTTCTTATAATAATACCTCTATTAATGAATATTGTCACACTAAATAATGAGATATGGGGAAAAAGCAGAGAAATGAAGCTAGAAGAATCCATTATTGGTCACCTTAAAAAATTTTTTGGAGAAGCAGAATGAAGACATTTTCATTAAACAGCAAACAATTGGGAATGTCAGTATGAAGAGAAACGTGTACTTTTTTTAGCCCAGAAGTTAGGACAATATTTTACCTGCACCTAGGAGATATGCCTTTAGAGTTATATCAATGCTGCCCTATGTTTCTTGGAGAAAGGGGAGGAATAGATCTACTAAATTCACCTGTCCAGATCCCACACACATTTATCATTTTAATATTCTGCTAGGCTTAAAATTCCTTCATGCCTGCAGGAGATATAGACTTGTCTGTAGGAAATGATTAAAAAAAATCTCAAGATGATTACTAGGACAGTGCCACCGAATCTCCATCTACTTTATGTGCAATCCTCTTTTTTTTTTTTTTTTTTTTAAAAGGGAGCTTCAATGGTACCTTCAAGGCCATCATCTTGCTTCTCTTTTTTTAAAACCTGGAGACAACTCCAGAAGACAGAAATTAAAAACATGTTCTATGGAAGATGGCCATTAAAGCATAAAGTTAGAGAAGTGATTTGAAGATAGTCTGCTTCACTTTGGAAACAAATTAGTGAAAGAAAACAAAGCATCTGTTATTGCTGCTTTGGATAACGAGGTTGTAGTTCCTTTCCTGACTGCAGTGCAGACCAAAACTCTGAGAAGATGACATTCCCCCTCATCACTGCATATCTACTTCTCATCACTGCACTCTCCTATCTTCGGAAAAAAGCTGAACAGGTCAAGTTACTGCTTGTAAGGCATAGCAGTCTTATCAGTAAAAGGCAATCTTAACATCCCTGTTAGGCAACGATTACTATTCTTGCTTGTTTTTAATCAGAACAAAAGCAAAGTCTGGCTGGATCAGACTTATCCAGCATTTGCTTGGTGCTCATAGGCAGGTGGACATCCTCTTCTTATTCCCAGTATTCTGCCTGCAATGAGGTAGCCCTGAGTTTTCAAAATCTTCAGAGAGATTGTTTCAATGAAATTTATCCAACCTTTCTAATCAGTGAAATGCTGCATGAAAAATTGCAATCTTTAATCCTGTTCTAAATCTGCGTTCAGTCCGATTTCTTCATTGGCATATCAGAGGTCTTAGTATTTTGGCGTAGGAAGAAAAGTTTTTTCTGGTCATTTTATACCATGCAGGATTTATGCACTTTGGATCACATCCTCTGTCAATTAGTTTTTCCATGCTAAAGATTTGCAAAATTCTAGCCTTTTCTAACAAGGGCCCAGATGAATTCTGTGACTCTCTGATTCATTTTCTCCCACTTCTACTGTGTACTTTTCAAATGAAGCAGAAGTCCATTCATGATTCCAGTTGAGGATGTATCATTGATTTATACAGGGGATTGTGATGACAGTAGTTCTGTTTTCAAATATTTTTTTCCCTGGTTCCTGATATAGGTGTTTTCCTTTCTTCAGGTGCCACCCCCCCCCCCCAGTGAAGCCCTTCTTTGATATAGCTGAGGTACTACAAGAAGTTTTCATTCGAGTCGTCCAGTAGAAGAATGCCCGGGATTTTTAAAAAATTTACTTTTTGAATTTTCCTTCTTTTTTCCTCGGACAATCCGAAAAAACCACTATGCCGTTCTGGCTTGAATTGTGTATACAAATAGAGCTCCAGTCCCTTTAAAAAACAAACTTTGTTGCTGCTAATTTCCTAGCGAAACAAAAGGGAGAGTCAGCTCCAGCAACTCATGTCTTTCCGCCTTCATTGAGTCGCCGGAGGGCGAGTCGCAGCGCCCGCCTCCACAGGAAGGCAGGCGCTGCAACACCCACTAGGCTAGGCGAGACCAGAGAAAAAGCAAAATAGTAATAATAATAAAGTTCAGCGCTCTTCCGATTTCCACGCCACGTGAAACGCGACGATCAAAACAAAAGTCCGTCTCCCCCCCCCCACTTCTGATTAAAAAGCCCGGCAGAAATAACTGGGCTGGTGCGCACCGCGCAAATGAAAGTGCGTTTGGATCGGATGCCAAGCAGGAGGCGGATGGCGGGGCAAACGAAATCAAGGCATCCAGATCAGATATTGGCCCAAGCAAGAGGAGAAGCCGAAGGCGCGCGTGTTTCTGCTGGGTGTGGGAGAAACTAGCGCCGTTGCCTTGCCTGCGTAATCGTGTGCAGTTCCGGAAAGGGCTAAACATAAATTTCGTTTGGAGCTTTACCAAGCCGAATGGTTTTTTAGGCGAAGCGCTGGAAGAAGCGAAGAACGGCAGAATTAATTGATCCCTCCATTCTTGTTCCCGCCTCAAGAGCGAAACGCTCTCGCTTTCTTAAGCTCCCCTCCGAGCTCTTTCCCAGCCTTGGAAAACTTTCTACGGTGGGCAGGAGGCGGGGTTAGCAGGGGTGTGGCTTCCATCTGCGCTCTTCGCCATCGAAATTTGCATTGACTGTTTCATCCGGACTTCCTGATCGGTTTCTATTGGCTGCAGGTAGAAATCTTTGTAAGCACGAGAGTGTCAGTGGGAACTAATGCAAATCTCTGGGCAATCCGTCCGCTCCCCACTCCCTCCCTCCCCAAGAGCCCAGCGCTAAACTCTATCCCAATCCCGTCTCTTCGCTCCGGCTGAGCGAGCGTAAAGCACGACCTGCCTGAGCGCAACCACGTGTAAACTGGCGGGAGAGAGATCTTGCCAATGCATCGAGCGGAGGAGCCTGTGGATTAGTAGTTCCTGGTGCCCCGCCGGGCACATGGTGTGAAGCGCTTGTGTGGGAAGGGAAGGATAAGGCGAAGAGTCACAGAGTCGTGGGGGAAAAAAGCGCTGGAACCATGAATGAAATGTCCAGCTTTCTGCACATTGGGGACATCGTCTCCTTGTACGCCGAAGGGTCGGTCAACGGCTTCATCAGCACTTTGGGGTGAGTCAGGAGCGGCACCCTCTCGGACGCAGAGGAGGAGGAGGAGGAGGAGGAGGAGAGGCGGGTTGGAACGGTGTGGAAACGATTTGGGTGGCTCTGGTACAAAGGAAACGGACCCCATCCCAACAAGAGTGATAACCCCTCTTAGGTGCATCGCTAAAGACAATGCCAGCCACATTGCAAACCGGAGTAGTTCCGATCTGAAGTTTTGAAGGGGGATCCCCAACTTCCCCAGCCACAGCCACCCTCGTCTTTCTTTTAAGAGTTTTTACGCTTGGGAGGCGGGGGGGGGGGCGGTTGGCATCTGGCGTCTCTGCCTTTAGATGAAGCGAGGAGCTTGTCGGTAGAGAGAGAGGCTGAGGGGGTGGAGGAAGTTTCCTGGGCTTGTTCAAACGAGTCCGTGGCCGGTTGCAGTCGACTTCTCAACCAGCAGGGGGGTCTAGGCTTCCGGACCACAGTGCCCCAATCATTTCGATGGGTTGCTCTTGAGCCTGCCCTGCGGAGGTTTGGAAGAGTGGTAAGCGGCTGGCCCAGGCTGTAGGAGCTGCCACTGTTGCAGCAAACAACAACAAAGTTATGCCTGGTTAGAAGGAACCTATTCAAACAATGCATTAAAAAAAATTGGAGAATCTGCCCTGATAGTTGTGTACTTGGTTGCTTATCAGAATAATCACGGAACTGTTTGTCAAGGTAGGATTTAACCTGAAAGCTCTTTTGCCTACAGCAAAACAGCCTCCCACATAACTGCACAAAGAAGACCAAATGGCATATTAATACAGGATATGCTTGCCAGGGGAACAGTCTCCTTCATCAGAAGTACTTTACTCACTCGTTTCACTGACAGCCCCAAACTATTAGTGCCCTTAATCATGTTGCCTGCAGGGTGCAGATTTAAAACAAATCTCTACAAAAGAAGAAGGCCCTAGTTTATTTTTGGTTAAAATTGAAAAATAAAACGGTTGGTAAACGGGATAATTTCCCCAAATCAACATGGCCTCGTGTATTTTATGCTGTCTGTTTCCACTTAATCTTCCAACTCTTCTCTCCCCCCACCCCATCTTTTCACACATTTGTTCCTGTCATCTTCAGTTTGTGAGGCTTTTGGGCAGGGACTTTGTCACTTTTGAGTTCTCTACAGAATCTGGTTTATAGCTGGTGCTCAATAAATGCTAATTAGAAGTGATGAATCACTGCTTATAAACTGTGACATAACTTGCCGAGTAACCTGTCAGTACTTGGAAACTGCCAATGGTTGCCAACCAATTCTGCTATTTTAGTCTTTGTTTTGGGATTCATGTGTTCCATAAGTGTTCTGGAGAAAAGTAGCAAATCTAACTGTTTAGATACAGGTAACTTCTCTCTGTCCAGGATCTTACTTAAAATTAATCCCATAGGTAAGTGATCTCTATTAGGATTCCACAGCCATGATTCCATTTATCTCTTTCTGCAGGGCAAACTATTCCTTTTCAACCTCATCCCTTAGCAGCCAGTTTCTAGCTAAATAGCTCAATCTCATATTGATTATTCGAAGAGATGTTGATGGGATACTTGCTATATTCCTGTAATGACTTCATGAGATCCAAGTAAATCATTAGCAGAATTAAGTGAGATAGATTCATGTTGGAAAAAAATCTAGCACATATTAGATGAACTTGGACAGAGCAAGCAGAGCTTAAGTAACAAAAAGCAACTCATGCTAGCTTTCTGTGAAAACAGGTTCCTTTACTGTTATTTTTCACATAATGATCCTGCTCCTCATTATGTCCCGCACAAAGCACATTGGGTAGTAAATATTTTCCAGTAGTTTCAATCATTTGCAGCATATTTGGTATTGTCTCATAGCCATAACAATATACGACTAATAACATTCCCCCAACCATCTATATTACTAAAGTTCCAGAAAAAAATGTTATTTAGAAAACACCTGCAGATGTTCTGTGCAAGTGGAGATTATGGTACTATCCAGATCTATTGTGTTCCTTCTGGTATATCATAGATTTTGATGAATTCTTTCCTCAGACCTCAGAGTTATTGCCAGGTCTCCCTATAGTTAAACACTGTCTAATAAAATTCAATATCTGCAGCATTAAATAATATATACATAAGTGAATATATAATTATAGAAGTACAAATAGGTCTACTGGCCTGCATGAAGGAATGAACATAATGAAATATCATGCAGAGACCGCCTTGAGATCTTGAGAGACCGCCTACTGCCAATTACCTCCACTCGACCAATTAGATCCCACAGGTTAGGCCTCCTCCGAGTTCCATCAGCCAGTCAATGTCGACTGGCAACTACGCGGAGGAGAGCCTTCTCTGTGGCAGCTCCGACCCTATGGAACGAACTCCCCGTGGAGATTCGTACCCTCACCACCCTCCAGACCTTCCGCATAGCCCTTAAAACCTTAAAAATACATAGCCCTTAAAAATACAAATACAAATGCAAAGTGGTAGATTTTCACAGGGTCTTGAAGATGATTGACCACAAGGTTTTTGCACAAAACAACCCTATCTTTGTATGTAAAACCCAATTTGGTGCAATGGTGAAGGCATCAGGCTAGAAACTGGGGGACCATGAGTTCTACTCCCACCTTAGATTGCTGGATGACCTTGGGCTACTCAGTCTTTCTCAGCCCTAGGAAGGAGGAAATGGCAAACCATTTGGGAAATCTTGCCAATCTTGCCAAGAAAATTACAAGGACCAGTTCATGTAGTTGCCAGGAGTTAAAGACTGAGTCAGAAGTAACAAAAAAGCAAGCAAACAAACAAATAAGCAAACAAATGAAATAAAAACCTTTATGTATCAATTGCACCCATTCTTAGATTGGGAAACCCTGTAAAATCTTTATGTATCAATTGCACCCATTCTTAGATTGGGAAACCCTATTCGTGGTCACATATACCCTTTTTGTTTCCTACTTGGAGTATTGTATTACCTTTAATTTCCTCAAAGACCTTTCAGAAGCTACAATTGATCCAGAACACAGCATCACCTGTATTGCAACATAATTTTGAAAGCTTCACTGGCTTTATAGGCAATTCAAGGTGCTGGTTATCAACCCTTTATGGCACAGGATCAGGTTATTTGGAGGACCATCTATCTCTGATCATGTTCGCCCATCTTATGAGATTCAAAAGAGTGGTCCCCTTCAGATTCCCTATATAAAACAGTGTCTTCTGTTGGGACCCAAGAGGCATGCCGTCTGTATTGTGACTCCTCTTTTTACAAAAGCATAGATCACAAGACTTGGATGTTCCCAATTCTGCTGGCCTTCCTTAAAATTCTAAAACCTTAGCCATTTCTCAAGCACCAGATTGGGACACTGGATGAGTCCATCTGAAAAATGGGTTTAGGATTTTGAATTTATTTTGTTTTGGGCCTTTATTTGTGCTATTTTACACTGGGTTGTTTTGTTTTTATTGTTTATCATATATGGTTACTAATCCTTTTTTGGCTACCCAAAGTCACACTGTGTGAATTGGGCAGCCATATAAATCACTTACAATTTGACCCCTACAAATTGACCCCTACAATTTACTCCACTTGGATTCACATATGCAGTTTTGTTTAGATAACGGGCCTTATTACTTAGTAATTTTTTAAGTCAGTAAATAACTACATGTCAAAAATTACTTTAGCCATGAAATATTTTCTTGGACAACAATGTTGACTGTTAAGATGGAAAGTACAGCTGTCTGTGACCAATGTGGAAGCAAAACCAATCTCAATTTTTAAAAAGTGATAGATCTATAGGCAAAAGGAAGTAGAAGCAGTCACCTATATCTAAACAGTTAGATTGCTTTGCTACTTTTCTCCAGAACACTTTTGGAACACATGGACCCCAAAACAAAAGTGAAGTTTGTGTTAGTTTTTGAAATTCATGTAATTTACAGTCCAAATTAAATGAGACAAACTCAAAAATAAGTCCACCTGGGTTCAATTGTGCTTACCCTACTTAATAACAATGATTCTTTATTGATTAGGCATTGGGACATATCAGAATGTAAAATATAGAACAATAGTGAGATGTAATGCGTTAGAAAATAGTGTAAAAAGTGTAAATAAAAGAAAATGCAAACCATATCGCTGTGACCCCTACAATTTACTCCACTTGGATTCACATATGCAGTTTTGTTTAGATAACGGGCCTTATTACTTAGTAATTTTTCGATTCCAATAGATCATTCATTGAATGTGTGATTGAAGACATTGATCAATCTTTCTTATACAGTTGACAAATAATAAATGTACTATGTCCTCTAACTTTGGAGTGACCTACCCTAGATTAGAGCCAGTTTGGTGTAGAGTTACTGCATCAGGCAAGAAAGCGGAAACCATGAGTTCTAGGCCTGCCTTAGGCCTAAAGCCAGCTGTGTGACCTTGGGCAACTTACTTTTAGCCCTAGGAAGAAGGAAATGGCAAATCGCTTCTGAAATCTTGTTAAGAAACCTTCAGTGCTTTTTTTTAGGCAGTCTCCAGGAGTCAACATTAACACAAAAAGCGAAAAAAAGAAAGAAAAAAGAAAAAAAGAAAAAGGGAAGAAAGGAAAGGAAAGACAGCAGGCCTTTCTTTCTGAAGTTATCTATGTTGTCGACTCAAATTTGTGCCAAATTTATCCAGGTCATTAAGTGTTGGCAACATGAAAGAACCTCTTTCATTGCTCTGCAGTTCAGAAGGGAGAAATATATCCATTTCAGCCCGGAGTTCTTGATTTGCCTACCTGTTCTAAAAAAAAAAACCTGAACTCTATCTTCACATATATTATGGGGATTATATAATTCTATTTTCATTATATAGAAGCTGATTGAAATAAATAAATAAACAAAAATAGAATCAAATAATAAATGTACAGTATTTAACTAGTGTTAATATCATTTATGCTACTTTTTGACAGGATGCCTGTGCAGAATAGTTGCAAAATAAAAAAAAAGATAAATTAAAATACAGTCAATGTCTTTACTGCCTTTACAATTATAATTTATTTTCTTTGCTTCAT